GTAGGATGACAGCTCTACTCAATGTACAGAATACATTAAAAGCTTGAAGACAATACGAGGTAAATGACCCCTCATTTGCATTTTTTATTGTATTAATTACTATTCTTTTTGACAGTTTGAAAACAGAAAATCCAGTACACAGACCACAAAAAATTAAGTAACTTTCAGTACTGCTCATGGTTTTGGCACTGGTATGATAAGAAAGTTGATTTAGTTTTAATTTTTGATTATATTGAGAAAAAGAATCACTTCACTGTTTGATCATTCAATCTTCTTATTTTATACTTGGAAATATAAAAAATATTCACCAAATCTTGTCTGTCACCACAAGCCCAATGGAAGTTTGTTTCCTTGACTGATGTTGTCTTAGTGAAGGCTATTTCACTCCATGAATCGAAAGATTTTTACTCCACAGCAACCTCAGAAGCTGAGAACTGTCTTGTATTGGCAACTTCCATGTGTCACATAAATAGTACAAAATCAGTAAAAAGCTACGTCTTTTAAAGCTGCAAAGCCTCCTTTGCTTAAGAAATGTGACATCACGTGAAAATTCAAACCATTTAATATTTCATGAAGATAATGTAACAAATAAAAAGAAAAGATAGGGTTAATACTATTAACTCAGCTCCTTCTTTTCCATTGAGATGAAACTTGGGAGTAATAAGCGAGATTTTATACTTCTATCAAACATACTTCAAGGTGATACAAAAGGCACTTAGAGTGACAAGAAATAATCTGCTCTCAGGAAGTGACTCCCAACATGAAAGCATCCCAGTAAAACCTGATACAGAAGACAAACTGCACAGCATCACCACAAGCCAGAGTGCAGTTTGGAGAAATGCCCCGTACATATCCCAGCTTCACTCCTGAATATACTCCTGTCGTGCCATAGCTACACTTTTTCTACCACATAATTACTGACAGGTTGGAAGAGAGGAATTGAAAAAAACTTCCTCTTTTTACTCCTCATCCGGTAGCTCCCAGTGTTAACCCCCAGCTAAAGAACTCAAATCAGCCCACCTTAATGATACTTCATGATACTTGTTTATTCAAACAGTACTACTCTGTTTGCAAATTAAAGTAGTTTGCACCCAAAGCTTTGGTATGGTTAAATATCTTATTCCTAAACTGAACGCATAGCCTTATTTGGTTGCCAGTTCAGTGTATTAATTAAAAATTTAAACTGATCAACATAATAATTTCAATTTTGCCATATTTCACATGTAAATAATCACCAGCTGCATAGGAAAAAAATAGAAAAATTACTGGGAGAATCTAGTCCCTAAAACAGACTTCAGATGTCTTCAAAATCCAAAATCAAAGGTCAGCAAAAAACCTGACTCAAGCATAATGGTCACTCATGTTCTGATAGAATGCCTAGAAAATCTATTTTAAAATAATTATTAATTATTATAACTATTATAATATTTCCCTTTCTTCAATAGACAGATGGTGATATTAAATAATAGATTCAAGTCCCTAACAACACTTTCCTTTTTGAATCATCAAGATTCTGCTGGGGATTACATGAGTCACAGGTGCTTTATGTAAATATTTGAATATAGGTTCAAAATGCACTCTTAGAATTTTGTTTTATTTCACACAACATTGCAATAGTCACACTCCCTGGTGGCAAGTACCTGCAGAGAACAGAAAGACTTCAGTCACACTCAGCTTTTGAAAACTCCTTTTCAGATAAACTAGGTGGAAGCAGTGCTTTTGATCCAAAGTTCAGGTGCTAGCAGGAAAACATTTCTGACAGATCAGCTGGGTTAGCAGGCTCACTTACAGCTGCTACATGGATAATGGCAGTGGCAGGAGAAGCACGAGCCACAGCACAGGACTGCAGTGCTGCTTTAAGGCACAGCCCAGTAAGAATTCACAGAAAATTAAGAGAAAAATAAAAGCAAAAAAATGAAAACTCTAAATCTGAACACATTCAAAGCAGGAATTTATTAATCTGAAGAGGTTGCTGTTTCTGGGTAATGCATTTACATCAGATTGCTGCTTCTTGACAATACATTTACATTATCAACTGACAGCTCCAGCTTTATTAACTGGGGAAAAAAATTACCTACTTCTGTTTACTTACCTGCTTATTTTTTTGCAAAACCTGCTAGTAGAGTAGGTAAAAGCTTGACCAAAAACTAAGAACAGAATGTTAAGCCATCTAGTTAACATGCATCAAAGAAAACTGGCTATCATTACAAATGGAAGACATGCCACTTGTGAATGTTTTATTTATTATATTAACACAACTTAAATGGTGCTTCACAAGCATCTTGATTTAGAAGACGGTCCTAAATTCAACTACAATTTCTTTGTAACTGATAAAATAAAAGCAGACTGAAGAAGCTACTAGATATTATATACACAATTTGAAACACTCCATATTTTTGGCATTTGTTCACCAAACTTCAGAAGCACATAATAGCACAGAATCTTTTACTTTTGTATTCCAAATCAAAAACTGAGCTCTCTAATGCTTAACTTCTGAAGAGTTGCCATTGTAAAGTGCAGAGTTTTTCTGTACCTCAGTCTTAGTTAAGTTGCTCAGTTATACTCTCACAAAGCTGCTCAAAGAAGAGACTTGGTCCTTCAAGGCGAAAAGACTTAATTTTAGGCTCTGCAGGCTCAAGCAAGCTGCTGTTTTCTTCACGTGAATTGCAACAGTACTGGCAATGAAAGCATGGCCACCTCCTCTGCACAGCTTAGAAATAGGCAGAAAATTAAGAGCATGATGATTGTAAAGACTGTCCCTCTCCAACCAAGGGATTGGTTTTAGTATCAAGGATTCTGTAAACTGGACTGATCACTGACTTAAATTGAAATAAACTCTCACCCCCAAAACTACATTTTTGGATACAGTATTGAGTAATACAGGAATTTTAGCTTAAAAGCAAGCATAAACCTATGACACCATTTTTTCTACAACATTTAGTGACTGAAAAAGTGCATTTGCAAGTATTTATTGGTCAGGCATATCAAGTTTTTTCTTGGATTAAAGTCCAAATAAAGCTTTTTTTTTTTTTCCCCCAAAAATATTTTTCTCCCATTCATTTGCCCACTTCATTACAATAGTACAGAATAGGGACAATATGCTAGAGAGACATTTAAAAAACAAAATAACAAACAACTAAAAAAACCTAAATTTGAAGTTGGTTAGTTGTTTAATCTGACACCAACTACACTTTTCAAGGCAACTATCTGTAATCTGGTTATGTAAAAACCAGTACAGTAGAGACACACCTGCATGGCACTTTAGAGTTCTGCATTCTAGAAGTAAGAAAGGCCTGCATTTTTGGTGTTTAAGGTCACATATCAGTTTTGGGATGTGCCTCAGAGACTTCAGTGGCCTGAACTACACAGTAAGATATGTTAGACTCTTGACTGCCCCATCAACTCATTGGCATTGAAACAAGTGCAGTGAATCAGATAAACCTACCTTAAGTCAAAGCTGATATAATAGCCCCACTGACTTTTCACAGACTATTAGTCTCAGAATAATAGTTTGAAATATGATTGCACAAAACTAGGAAAGTATTTGGATACATAGAAAATTGTACAACTCAGCTTACTAAAATTTTACAGTGTTTCTGGTTTCAAGGATAAATACAAAGCTTGACATACATTCATATGTGGTGATTTTCAAAGGGTAGATGGAAAGGGGACATGGAAGACAAAATGGAGGTTTTTTTACCACTGAGAACAGCAGAAGAGCCTTTTACTTTCCCTGTGAAAAGCTGCCTGAATTCTGAATCTGTGATTGAAGCAGCTAGCAGGAGTTTGCATGTGGAAGGGCTCAATTTGTGAATTGTATAAGAATTCACAAAGTGCTGGGCAGGATCCAGATGTAACAATGCCAGCTGCTTTCTACCATTCCTTATAGTATCATACCTTTACTGGTTAACAGTGGGTCACAGAACAGTGGGCTACTATCAAATGCTGTTTTAAGAGTGCTTTGACCTAAAAAGGCCTAATGAAGCATGAAGTGAGAGATCTGGGGGTAGTGAACAAAACCTACCTGTCCTGAATGAGTGAAAAAGCATATTTTAAATGGCTTCTATTGGAAAAGACAAAGAGTTACATGTGCATTCAAAAGAGATGGAGCACTCACGACAAATGAAGAAAAACTCCACCACATGGCTGGGGTATGAACAAGATGCCAAACAAAATTCTTTCTTGTTACCATTCAAAAACTTCCTGGGTTTTAATTGAAAAGTCCTTTTGATTCACGTCAAAGACAGGACTAAAAGCTTGCCATGTGAGCCCCTGCAGTGTTCCTTCACTTTCCATTAGCAGTCTCTTGAAGCACGTGACATAGTGGTTTACAAGAGAAAAACATCAATGCACAGAATTTAGAATAAAACCAGGTAGAAAACAAGAAATATTCTATCTTAAAAAAGTGAACTCTTAACTAGTCCAAACTGTATCCAGTAGGTCCTATGACCATGTCATTATCACCAGATTACAATATCTAGGAGATAAGAAATAAAATACATTTGACCCAAGAGAAGGAATTTAAGACAAACAGCTAAACAAATTTTGTTAAAAATGAACTTCTGAAGTTTTGATGGAAGATGAAATAAAGGGCAAGTTAGGTGTGCCTGACATTTTAAGAATATTTTTCATGACATTGTAAGAATATTTTTCAATGTTTAAAGAAACCGATTGAACTGAGTGTTCTGAACAGTGTTCAGGTCACTAAGTTGTGAAAATGACAAAGCAATTAGGGTCATATAATCAAAGTTTAATGAGAAGTTCAAATTAACACTTCTGATTATTGGTGCACTACCTGAAATGGTTTTGAAAATGTAATTTTTGGTGCTTCATTGACACCATCTGAAATTCCAACACTTGTGTCTTGCTCTGAAAAGGCTTAAAACATGAAAAGGAGGAACAGTTGTTTTTCTGCTCCTCTCGTCTCCCCTTCACCATTTTCTTGGATGAAAAACCCTAACCTTCTTCCAGCATAAATGGAAGCACACGAGGTTTAAACATTTGAAAAGATATAAAGGTTTATTAAATGAATCCAGATTTGACAGATATTACATTAAATTAAACAGCAATAAAGTTTTACTAGGGTTTATGTACAGATCACAGTGATTTTTCATTGTGCAATGAGGGCTGACTTTGTAACTTTGAACAGTACTGACACGTGAGCTACAACAAGCAACCAGCAACACACAACATTAGCCCAAGTGAACCTCGCAAATGGAGCAGTCCAAACTGATTATGCAGCACACAAATGCCTGCTACCACTACCACTACTTACTACACAACAGAGTATTTATAAAGCAGTCAAGGTTTGCCATAGAAAAGTGCAAAACATGGGAAGTCTGTACACAGTACAGTACAAAAAGGAATCATGCTACAGTCATTGAAAGCTGAAAAATAATTCTATAGCATAGGAAGCACTGCATTACAACTCTTCTGAATGGCAAGCAGATGGGCTGAGGAACAGCCGTATCTTCATTGCTTTCAAAACTGTAAAATCCCTGTTTATCCATTTAAACATAGTTTAGTACCTATATTTGATCCATAACAATGACTTTCTACAGTGGAAGATCACATTAGTTAAAGCTCAGTAGCACACATATTCATTGATCAAGCTCATTTACAGGAAAATCTACAGCATGTTCTTCACTGAAATCATGAAGCATTTATATCATTTGGTTACAAGGCAATTGAGTTTACAATTCATGTTTATCACTTAAAACCTCAGACTGGGCAATTAAAAATATATATATATAAAACTCAAAAATAAAGGTTGTTTTATCAACATTTAACATTCTTGTTCACTGATGTAAAATATCAAAGGCCTATGGGCTCTCTTGCAAGACAACAGTCCTTATGCAACAGTCTATACGCAAAAGTACACATTAACAGAAAGAACTAAAATAAAATGAACTTCAGGTAACACCCTACTTGAATAGGAACTAAAAAAAAATCTTCTAGCCTTCTTAAAAAAAAAAAATCCGTAAATCCAGAATTCCTAGTGCAGTGTTTACCTGCATGAGCACTCTGACAGAACTACATTAGTGGGGCATGAAGTCCCAGTAAAGACTTAAAGCAGACTCACTTGTGCAAATAAATAAAACAGCCAGGTGATAACACCTCATTAAGTCCAGGACTGTAGAGAAAATAACTGATCACTTAAAATAATGCTTCAAAAATGTCTTGGTTTTATTTTTTACTTCAGTATTTTAACTAAAAAAAATTGAAAGCAGTTTTGTACTAGAAAGCATGCTGACGAGGTCAGTAGTTAGGTGTATGTACACATGGCTCGGACACAATGTAAAGTCAAAGGATTATCATTATTAACAGCATTGTATTTGCTTCCTTAGTCTCCATCATAGTGAGTGTCAGTGCATCCACTGCCAGCAATGGATAAGAGTCATAAAAAGAAAATTTACTATCTCCTGTTGTTCAAGCATTCAAAACTTCTAACTGCCACTGTGGCAAATTACTCAATTTCAACATCATTTCCTCAGATCTGAAGAGGAGCTTTGAAATTTGAAAAAAAAATCCTATATATAGCACACTTTCTTGCAGTACATAAATTTGCAAATAAGAAATTGATGTATATAGTATTCAGAGTCCATAAAATACTATACACTTGCACATTAAGAAAACTCACCAACTGTTTGCTCCCCCTTACACAAAATAAGCTGTGTTTTATGTGTTTCAGTTTTTCCAACTGATTTAGAATAACTAGTTCAACAGATACCAATACAGTGGGCCAAGTTCATTTTTCCAGGAGAATAAGGTACTCACACTAGGTTTAAACTGTAATTTCCTATGGAATGTCTTGTATTTCATTATACATTCCTACACAATATTTACTGAGTGGCAGCTGGAGCCACCAACTTGCAAAACATCACGACAGCTTTGTGATATTCCAGAATTATCATTCTGAAATGTCCTGATTTTGTTACACATTGTGCATTTTTGACAAGAGTTATGCAATCTCTTTTCATAAGATTTGCTTTATGAAGAAATAATCTAATACCCTAGAAGTTACAGGTTCTCAATAGCACTTCTGTACTGTTTAAAAAAAAAAAAAATTGAGACCACTTTTCCACAAGAAGACTCCAGTAACAGATCTGCCATAAAATCATAAATATGATAATTTCAGTAGCAATTACTAGAATGCCTGCTTTGTAGGCATTTGGACTTAGTTTAAAAATCTAAACAAATCTTCAGCCTACATTTCTTATTGCTTTCAGATCAAAAATGTAGAGAATAGTTTTTGGGAAAAACTGTCTGTATGATCTAATTAAACAGTATCATGTAGAGCCGTAAGTCATAGTAGCAGACTCCAGAGAGCTGATGTGTTCTGAGAAAAAAAAGTCTAAATATGGTAATTTCACTAGAAGCTACCTAAAACCGACAACATCTTAAAAAATGTCATTTTGTTTTTTGTAATTGAAGTACTTCAAAATCAACTCCCTTATATTAAGACAGGTATCACAATATATAACATGAAAAAAAAAACCCTAAAAAAAGAGGTTCTGCCTAGTATGCAATCTACCTTCATCTTTCTGTGCATTCACATATAGAGATACATACATACGCACATACTGGTATCTAGTGCTACTTAAAATGAATCAATATTGCAAGTACTTCCAAAAAAGTGTGCTCAAGCTGCTAGAAAGATTTTAACACAGGATGGAAAAAAAGACTCTGTGCATCTAAGGTCTGAACTCTGTACATACGAAATTGCTGGCAGCAGGGACTGGGACATTTTCAAAAAAGGAGGAGCAGAAAAATAAGGTTGTACTACATATTCAGTCTTCCCTCTGATAATATGAGGTGTTCGGCATTCTACAATAACTATTTCACTAACGAAAAAGATCTGTTATGGCTCATGCTTTACATTTGGAGAAGACAACAAGTTTGTGAGGGAACAATTCCTGTGAGAGCCAGTTACAGCCCTTTTATCAGGATGGACTGACTTGCATGTTTACAGTGAGTTTTCATGTGAGGAATCTTTTCAGACAGTGTATAATCACTCAAAATTCTGGTTTTCAAAGAGACATAATTGTAACAGAACTTCATAAATTAGCCAATAAGATACATCTTTAACAACAATATAACATGCCCTGGTCTTTCTGCTTTCAAGTACTATGGTTGTAAGTGTGAGGCATTCTAAATTTTAGGTACAAATCTTTTTTAAAACTTAATTATTTCTGTTTTTTTACAAAGAATTATAAAATGTATATAAGATGATGAAAAACTCATTTATCCTTTTTTTAAGACTTTTATTCCTAAAGAACTTCTTGAAAAACATTATTTGAAAAATAAAAATCATAGACTCTGCAAAGTACAAAAATTTACATCTTTGCACAATTCCTGTGCTTTAGTTGTACTGTATCCATTATATACATATATACTAATTTGTGCTTTTAATTACACAACTTTAGTATAAACTTATAAAATTAAGTCTATGAGTTAACTATGCAAAAAGGATCTGGGAATAGCAGGAAACTTAATTCAACCATAAGTTAAAAAAAAAATCCTAAAAATATCATTTTACTTAGTCTACTTTAGAGTAGACTATCATTATTACAATAAACTAAAGTCAAATGTTTACAGCAAAAAAATATTCCTGCCTGCCTCCACCTTTTATGACATTTACTAATACACATATCTGAATGCAGTATCATTCTCAGCCACAAAGAAAATCTTCCTTTATATCTGAACTCCATCATTCTTCACACTTGCTCTTAGCAGTTCAATTTCCTTCCAGTTTCTAAGACAAAAAAAAGAGAACACAACTCAAGGTGGACTATTTGAACTCAGTAAAAAGTATCAACCTATCATATTTATGAGAGAATATTCAGAGTATAGAATTAACCTGACAAACTTACTAGAGTCTGCATTCTTAGTAGTAAAACTTTACAGTTAAGAAATATCACATTTCCTTATCTTCAAATCAATGTAGGTATTTCTTTTTACACACTATTTTAAAAAATTCAAGGACAGAAGGTCTTAAATATTTGTATGCAAATAAACCTTCATGAATGTAGACAACCAAATCCTGTGAGATGATTTTTGTCACTTCAACCCATTATGAATCAGAAAATGTAATTTCTGCATGTGGTTCTCACTCACAGGTCTGCAGTGTTTTCAAGGGCACTCTTGACATTTGGACATACCTTGCCCAGTGTAGATGTAACACTCAGAAGTTCTTGAAAATTTCTAGATCTTTAGGAGGTACCGGAGGTGTCTTGTTCCAGTCATCTTCAGGATAAGCTTCAAAATTGGAAGTATCCCCATCATTGGATACTTTGGGCACTATGGGAGGCTAGTCAGAAGAAGCACAACAAAAATGTTAGTGATTCCCTCAATGAGCCCCTCTCCATCATACTATTCTGTAAAAGATGTATTAAACAAATTATTAAACAAATGGAGTACAGATTTACAGTTCACCCATTTCCCTAATAATGAATGGCATGAGAGAGAGAAGCTTGCAGCAACACATACACATTCCTACTTTTTGTCAATTTTACACTAATGTGGTTAAAAAACACTTAAATAATTAATACACTTAATACAGATACTTATTTTATTGAGCACTAGCTTCTTTTCAACTAAGAATCTTCATAGCAGCATGGGAAACTGCTACCATATTGAGGGAAAAAAGTCTCCACTGCTTTTTAAAGAAGTTGAAATTACTAACTTCTGGCTATCAACTGTGCTTTTTCCTAACCCAGCAATAAATTCAAGCACGTAAAGAAATTGCTTCACCATAACTCATTTCAGAAGGATGGTTATAAAAGCCTCTTAATTCAAACTGATTGTTTTCATGAAACTTGAAGGTGCCAAGAGAAGTATCAGTTTTTGTTTGTTTTCACAGAGGATCCTTTCAATTTCTAGTCTTGCTCGTCAGCTTCACAGTACCTGTAGTTTTAACTTGTCAGAAATCTAACATTGAGAATGCTCTGTGCTTCTGGCCACAGACTATGAGATAAAGATCCCTTCAGGAACATTTCATTAATTGCAGGTATTAATGAAGGGCAAACCCCTTTTCCTCTCTCAAGGGACATTCATCTCCCTATCTTCTACTGAGCTACTGAGAGCTTTACTATCATGCTGAATCCAACAGAATGCTTTAGAATGAGAAAACCTTATGGATGATCAGTGAACTGGCTCAAAGTTATACCACAGACGGAACTATCAAGTATAGCAAGATGCTATTCTGCATATCCTCAAAAAGATAAAAAGTCTGGCTTCCACTAGCTCATGAGATCTTATCTGATCTTTTGGGCTTTTCAAGATGATGTCATCATCAGTAGGTTTTCAATGGCAAAGATGGGTCCCTGTATGATAGTATTTCTAACATTCAGCCAAAAGCAGAGTCCTAATTTTGTGTCTGGCAGTCACAGTAATATTGCCCAGATGCTGAGGAAAATGTGCAGAATCTGCTCTGCCCCTGAGAAATGTCGGCTCCACTGTGGGCAGCACCCAGTACCCCTCCTCTCTGTAAGCATTTGGCAGAAAAAACAGTTTTGTGAAGTGACACACAAAAAGAAAAAAACAAGAGAGAAAGGATGATTAATGAACTGATGATCACAATGGTGATTGCTATTGTTTATATGATATTGATATTCAAGACCTTATTTGGACCATGAATCAATGTATAATTTATACAACAGACAAATTCTTGTTTTTTACAGGGAAAATAGAACATTGTGTGCATTATTTCATATTTTCCATCTCTTCATCAGTATGAAATTGTGCAAACAAATCCTGAAGAATATAGCTGTCTCTATAAATAACCAAGTAAAATTCTGATCCACATCACATCCCTACTCTTAAGTTTAGTTAAGCACCATCTCATCTTCTAAGAGCTTAATTTAACCACCACAAAGATTAAGAAATAAGTTTTGTATTCATAATCTGAATGCTACGGTGACTCTTTTTTGATTAATTTTTTAAAATAAAAATGCCACACAAAGGATGTTTGGACCTGAGACATTTGATTGTACATCTAACAATCATTTTTAATACTATTTGTTTTTTATTGCTTTGATTGTCAAACTTCAGAGTTCATATACTATTAAACAGGTTATCATCCAGTTTGTGTTCTTTGCAAGGTTTCGGTAAACAGAATTTATAGTAAACACCTAAGTAATGATTAAAAATAAAACAAACCCACACATTTCAAACACTGTAAACTTATTTTTCTTAAAGAGAAAAGTCATCTACAATTTTGTATTAGATATTGTTTACAAGAATACACTAAGAACATTTTAATATTGTCTTTTTTTTTTTTTCATTTTTGCAAGAACTCAAGGTATCTACCTGGAATTTAAGTGCAAGAAACCAATGCAAAGGAAAAAACCCAAATGTTTAATTGGTACTTGATTGACTGCATGTGGTAACTCAACCTCTGCTACAGAAAACCACTGCTGTAAGGAATTGTACAAGTCAGAACTCTGAGGAAGGAAAGAAAGAAGGCAGTTTTACTTCCAAAGGACTTCAAAAAGCATTTTGTAGTGTTGATAGCTTTTGCAAACATCTGCCATCATACAATACTAGAATTCAGTGCTATAAAAAAGTATGTTGGAATTACATTCATAAATAGTTCTCTTTCACCTTCCCTATTCCTCCTACTCCCATGTGCTTTACATTTTATTAAAACATTTACCTGAATTGAACCTGGTACAAAAATTTAAAGCCCAGAGTAAAATACTTCCATGTAGGTAAGGACAACGAAAAACCCAAAAAAAAAAACCAACCAAAAAAAAAAAAAAAAAAAAAAAAAAAAAAAAAAAAAAACCACAAAAAAAATCAAACCAATAAATTAGCAATCTCTAATTCAAAAGCCACTTACAACAAGTAATCACTTACAAAACCCCAAACCTGAAAACTAAATTTTGTATTAACTAATCATCTGCAGAAAACTAAAGCAGCGATTTTTTTAGACAGATCGCATACAGACAAAAATGCAAACAGACACTCAATTTATAATTAACTCCACACTGCAAAAAGGCAAATATGCATTTAATTACTAAGTGTGCATATAGACATGTGGTTATACACACACAAACACACAGATGCAACAGCCAACAAACCTTCAACAGATCAGCTTAAATGAACAATGATTTCTCCTTGTGATGTCCTATACAGTATTTGCAGAATGTACCTTTAGTCTCCTTTGAGGTACAGCATCCCAGTCTATAGACCTGAACCATCGATGTCTCTTCACATCATCTGCTCCATTCTTTAAGGAAAGAAATCAAAATAACTATTTTTTAAGCTACATGTATGCCAAATCATGTATTTCATTACAAGGACTGTTGATATCAGGTCTACCCTTTTTTCTTTTTTTCAGGTGACAATCATTAAAAAATTCTAAAGGATAAACTCATAGTGTTAATTGCCTAATAGGTCCTAAGTTCCAGCAATAAAACCCAAGTAATTTTAAGTTGGGGTTTCTTTGGGCTTTTTTTTAGCGTTCTTCTGACACAATGGAGATCAAGAAAAGGCTTTGAACTACCCACAAAACCATTCATTACAGTCCCATTTACTTTTGTTTTCACCAACATTTTAGAGAATACCTTTTATTCAGATACACTTTCTAATTCTTGCACTATAAAAAAAATAACTCAGGGTTGATGGCATTTTAAATAAAAATAATCACATAGTTATTTTAAATACTACAGACATTTAATGCCGACAGCAAGAGGTTCTCAGTACTGTTACAAAGTAAACACATTAAAACATTTGTTTTCATTTTAGATATGCAGCTAAAGGTGTATTTGCCTTGTAATGATTATTCTCTCTGGGGTGCCTGTTTTATTTATGTACATAAGGAACAACAACATCTCTTTTTTTCGTGATTAATCTTGTTTCAAGCACAGACTTGTTCTCTAGGCATTAAGCACTGGGGAAAACCAGCTGGTTCTCTGTCTCAGGCCTGATCAAAGCACAGCACTCAAGACTATAACCAAGCATTATCACACAACATTTGGGCTTTTTCAGGTTTATGTGGAGTGGAACTAGCCATGCTCATATCCAATGAGGCATCAAGAACAGGAGAACAGTATCATGTAGTTCCCTCAAAAGCAGATCTGACTGAATGCTTCACCAGAAAACGTTTTGTGGGATTTACGTATTTTTAAAACAATTATGACAATGGAAAAGGATCAGACACAAGTCTGACCTAGTGCTCCCACCCCAAAATCTGCTCTTAATTAGAACTGTTTTTGATTAAAGAATTTTAGTCACTTGTAGGGAAAACCCCAAAACAAACCTAAGCAACCAAGGTCTAAAAACATGCCCCAAAACAACACAAAACTCAGCCAAACACATTTACTAAAGCCCATGTTTGAACAAGTCAAGATTTGCTTTTGTTCTTGTTTTCCTTCAAAACCATCCAAATATATAAAAGTTTTCACTGGTAAACGATTTAAAAAATTTTCAGCTTAAGAAATCCTCCTGAAAAAGACTACAAAGGATTTTAAAGGATCAGAAAAACATTATTTCCTGTTTTTTCTTACGAGTTGAACTTTGTGCCATAAAAAGGCTCCAAACAGAAACACTGGACAGCTGGTTAAAGCATTTATATTTATATTAATATGTTAAGAAAACCCTGGATGATTGTGCACCTTTTATCATCTTCACCTATTTTTACCATTCAATGTGCTTTTGAATGTGCTTTTTTTTTTGTACCACTCAAAAAGCAAACCTCTAACATCCCTTGCCCAGAGAAATAAAAATTTTAGATGTATCTAAAGAAAAAGATTATAGAAGCTAACTGCAGTATCTATTGTCTTCATAAATCTGTTTGGATTAGGGTAAATAATTCTTCCTGGTGGAAGAGCATTTGACTGTGCTTAATCAGACCCACCAAGACAATGACCAGGTACCACAGTACTACAACAATCCTTATAATTTTAAAATAATTTTTGAACTTCCAAGTTTGATTAGTGGTCCTTCTGGGATTAACACTGCCACAAAAAGAGAACCAACTGAGCTGGCACCCTGCACTAGAGGACTTAATACCATGTTTCTGGTCTAATCTAGGTTTTCATATTAATGAAAATGAAATGAAAAAATGAAAATGAAAAAAGGGTGGTGGTAGGGGTGGTGGGGAGGAGAGGAAAACCATGAATTTTCAGAAATACAGAAATAAACAGGTTAAACTTTGCACTTAGGATTGCATAACCTAGGTAATGTACATGGAAATGTATGTGTTTCATGCTTATAAGACCAAAACCTCTATGGAGAGCTGGTCTATATCTTTCCTACAGAATTCTTTTAACCTTGTGCTGTGTTACACGAAAGATTTTACACTGACCTTCATATTTCCTAGTCGTCTTGTTCTGTCAACCACAAGCAGCTTCTTAATAAGGTCTCTGAAGTAGAGAAAGAAAACATGTTCTCTGTTAAACAGAAGTAATTTATATTTGACTGTTGAGTGCTACAGAATATAGACATGCTTCCCCTTGACCATTCATTTCCTCATACTTTAGGACATTTAAGAGTAAGCAGTAAAAAAGAATCTAACAGAATTGTTGCAGATTTCTTTTAGATTCTTCCAAGAAACATACGAAAAAAACTCCCTCTCTCCTCCCCTGCCCCTTGCCAAGTAGCCCCATTTTGTTCTTTGTATTTTTGCATTTTGCTCAGCATTCCAAATCTCAAAATGGATCTCCAATCTGTTTATCAGAACTCAACACTAATACATATTAAGAAAGCAGATAAAGCTGCACCCTCATCTTTATGCTAAATATCCAGGGAAACCATGGAAGAGCTAGTCATCTGCTTAAAACTAGTAATATCTATTACTTAATTGAAAACAAAAAGCCTCACTGAGATACTGGCTCACTGAACAGTTTTACATAAAACTAAATCAACATTTTAAGAGATTAAAAGAAGTTTAGAGACATAAAACTCTTTCGTATTAATAGCAAAGTACTTCAAATAAGCCCCAAACAACTATGAACCAAAAGTATGAACTATGAACAACTATAAACAAAAAGTATCATAATTAGCTTGATTACTTATGAGTTGAAAGAAAAATATGGCTTCATATTTCTATAAGCAGTTACATTTTACCTCAAAGATTATTGTGCTATTTGATTTTAGAGAACTGACATTCTGGACTAATTGCATGAAGTACCAATGACAAGAAAGAACAAAAGTTTAACCATCCTTATTTCTATAATTTCATGTATTCCTGAGAGATGACATACAGCATGAAATGATGGAACTTAAAGAGTATGGCTAGTTCAAATTTTTAACAATATCAAAGGTTAAAAAAGTCAACTGTTTTATTTAGAGAAAAGAACACAAACATAACAATGACACACCTGCCTCTCTCCAGTCCTACCTGTAATGTCTACTATGCCTCCCAAAAATAGCATTGTGTCACCTGTCCTTGCAATCACAAGAGTGTGTGCAGAAAGAACATATGAACTGAATATGCTAGACTGTTTAAAAAAAATGGTTGCATTTGGCAGAAATACAATTCTAAAATTCAACTGGAAAAAAATTTAAATTATCAGATATACAAATAAAAAAGTCCATGTAGAAAACAGTTTTTAAAACTCTGGTGATTATTCCAGACAATCAATATTTCAATTAGATTAAATCATGTCACCAACTCCTTTCAGTCACCTTTGCAGAAATATCCCTTTCTACTTCACAAAGAAGACCATTCACTATGGAAGAGGCTACAAGGAGGACTATAAACACACTTAAAACAGAAGCAGGACTGCAAAGAAATCCAGAAGCCCAAAAAGAGATTCACAGAGTTTATGGCCAAAGATACTTTCTAACTCCTATAAAACCAGAAAACATTTCATGGATCATTCTTGGCTCGCTTCAAAAATTCATCATAAAACAGTTAAGGGATGAGCTTACTTGCTGATACAGTGCTGTTACTAAATATGACATTTGCTGCATTGGACCAGTGAAATATCCATTGCATTGAAACAAATAGATAGTTTAGCAGTTCTTTATTACATTGGTTCTAAAAAATAGTTTTAAAATTATGTTAAAATTATTTCAATAGATATGCTGGTGTATTTTTTTGAGAATCAAATTCTACAAGAAGGTCTCTGCAGACCAATAATTAGTAAAATGCTGTAGCAGTGACATTTTGTTTGGAGGCTTCCAAAACTGGGTTTTGCCAAGAAAGTTTAAAAAAGCAGTAAGAAAGAGTGACATTCATGCATCAGGAGGGAAAGCAGAAGTGGTACAAATTCAAAAAGTAAAGCATACAGAAGGGTGATAGGGGGTAGGTGAGGAAAAAATGTAAATACCTGTAAGCTCAGGTCGTACATACCCCTAGGGAGAGAAGCGCTCTCAGGGTTCAGAAAGGGTTTTGCTGCCTCAGAACAGAGAGTTAAAACATTGTATAGCACTAATACTTCAGGCACAGTCTGGGTCTGACAGGACCCAGGACAGCTTTCTTTCTGGCTGAAATACTGACTTATTGGAAGAAGAAAGAGAAAACAGATGGGTTAGAAGGTAAGAAGCAGACTGCCTGTATTGGACAAAATAACCTTTGCACTTGCTTTAAGCTAATGATGCAGAGATGTTCAAGGACTACCCAGTTCTGTATATTTTAAAAGCAGGAAGAGGGGTTGAGATCCAAGACACTGTGTTCACAACTCACTGCAGAAAGCAAGAGAAGCCACAGAAGTAGCATGTCCAGCAGGACAGAACAGTGATTGGCCCCCTCTACTTGTCAGTGGTGAGACCACACCTCGTGTTCCTGTGCCCAGTTCTGGGCCACTCACTTCAAGAAAGACATTGAGATGCTGGAGTGTGTCCAGAGAAGGGCAATGGAGCTGGTGAAGGATCTGGAGGGTAAGTCCTACAAGGAGTGGCTGAGAGAGCTGGGATTGTGTAGCCTGGATAGAATGAGGCTAAGGGGTGACCTCATTAGTCTCTGTAACTGCTTTCACTATATTGGATGGGTTGCTAGTGATGATTACCTAATTTGAGGTGTTTCACCTTCTGATAGCAAGATTATAGCTCAGTGCACAGAATACCACAAGAGATAACCAGTTTTCTTTCCAAGACCAAGTGGATTAGGAAGACCAGACAATGAGACTACACTAAACTGGTAACTGTGCAGAGCTACTAAGAGTCAACTGCTATAAAGACACAAAAATATGAGACTCTAGTCAGCCTAAGGGGAAGCAGACATGCTTCATTCAGTGCATCCAATGATTCAGTGGAAGTTAAAAAAAAAAAACAAAACAAAACAAAAAATCTTTCTCAAATTATTAGTTTTCCGTGTATCTGTTTACCCAATAGTGACAATAAGCAAGTGCCTCTCTGAAGTCACCATCAAAACATCGTGAGTGATTAACCTAGGAGTAACTTCCTGTCTTCATTCCCTCACTCCAGAAACTTCATGTTTATAATTGCATTTCCTCAGTTTCAATGTTTACTAAAAATTATTTCAGTTATGGAATTTTCAAATAGAAAAAATACCTTATTTCATCTACAATACACTTTTAACAATTGCTAAATACTGAGAATTAAACCCACATTACATGTGTATGTAATACTCCATATTGAACTGGGCCCCTGCCATCATAAATTTAAGTTGACTTTATACTAGAACTTCTGAAGTACCAGAGTTTGCTCAAGTAATTATGCTGAGAGTGATTCAAGTGGTATGTATCTTTAGATAGAAACAGTTTAGTGTTCTCTTCCTGCTCTCCTAATTTTTGCTCAGATTATTTCCTCGTATTTCTCCTCTTGACCTTCTTACAGGACATGCCAATGGGGTTTCCACAAGGTGGAAAAACATTTAATAACCCATAATACACAGAAAAGATAGTCAGATATTATCCTACAACTGTATCACCACCTTGAAGTCTACCAAATATACAAGTTTATTCGGACCGAAAGTGTACATAAAATATTTTCCAACATGATATTTCAGAAAATCAGAATCTGAAATCAGGTCTTCTAAAAAGATTTTTTAGAAACAGTGCTCAAGAGGTATTTAGAATAGAAAAGAGTGTTGGGAGTCATGGACTTACTTTACATATAAATCCAAATGCCTCGGGAAATCTATTTTTCCAGCAAGAATCTTCTGATATATACCAAATGGATTGTCATCAAAAAATGGAGGAAACCTATTTCAATACAGAAAATTTTCAGATGTTAGAAAAAAAAGTTCTAAAATTTTATTAGCAGTATTACATTATAGCAATTTCCCTCAGAAATAATTATGTTGTTCTTTTTGGTAGGACACTACCAATCAAGTACTATCCTGAAGAATAATTTAAGGCTACCATTGTAAAATAGAACATTTTTGTACACAACACACCGAATGCAGAATTAAAATTTAAATATAACAGAATAGAAAAATATAAAATTGCTACATAATTGCAGTAAAAATATAATTTATGAAAAAAAATTTCAGAGTTAAAAGTAAAAAGTGCTTTGCTTTTATCTCTAAAACCCAGGGATATACTCTTCAAAAGAGCATTACCATTTTTGATCTTGTCCTGTAACTGCCGGCACACCCTTATTTACCAGTTTTTTTCTAAAGTGTTAAAGGACCTTCACATGAATACATTATCCAGTTCAGTTATTTGTTGTGCATCTTGAATTCAACTATGTTCTGCTAGATAAGGTTTTTGAAACAGTCAGACTGCTCACAACTCTCCAAGTGCAGTTGCCTTTCTGTGTGGGACAGATAAAGTTTTCATTGCATAATCTTCTCCATGATGAACAGTAAATTAACATGCAATTGAAATTCTACATTTATGTTTTCTATGCAGTTTTTCATGAAGTTATGAGCTAACAGAGAGACTGCTTCTTGTTGTACAGCTACAGTAAGAACTGAAAGTTTTCTGCTGTGCTTTCTTTACTAGTACAGTACATCCCTGACTGCTGCAAGAGGTGCATCAGTACAGCCAGTACAGGCAGCTGAGCCCAGGCACTGACAGCTTTCTGAGTGTCAGTCATGCTCTTAAAAGTTACCACAGGAAACCCTCTAAGGGAATGCAGTAACTCTTTCAGTAATCTCAGTCCTGCTTTGTCCTCTGTAACGTGACCAAAACAACCCTCTTACTATGCTTCTGCCTCAAAATCCCCACAGAATTAAAAAAACCTACAGCTTTTGAGTGTTGACCATATTAGAAACATCCAACCACTATTGCAGTTTAATTAAAATATTTTCACATCTCCCTAACTTACTTACTTTCTCAGCTTAACTGTGTACATACACACACAAATGCAGCGCTTGTGGCTTTGGAAATCGCTGATAACACAAAAACAAGGATGAAAACAACGTTTCTTCACTTCAGGCTCTTTTTTTATTTTATGGTAGTCAAACTAGCTTATTCTTCAAGTAATATACATTATTTCCATTATGTTTTCAGAAGTATTAATTTCTTCATTATTCAGCAGATGATCAAGTGGATTAGCATTCCCTTTGAAATACCATAATTTCAGCCACGCTAATAATCAAATTCCTTCAGAATAGATAAGTAAAGGCGTCTGCAGGCTTATGGCAAAAGAACATAATAATTCAAAGCACTGAAAAGCATGACTAAACTAACTGGTTAGGGAAAGACTAAAGGACATTTTTTGTTGGTGTTCAGAAAGTTAAATTCTTTATGAAAAACTACTTCCCAGCTAACTGGAAAGTGGAAGAATCTCAGTAATAATACTTGTGCTATTAAAAATTCCTGCTTTGACACTAAAGAACAAGGAAAACATGATTGCTATTTAACATGCACAAGTTTTTTTTCCCCACACAAGAAAGACTATCATATAAAGTTTCTTTTTTAGTCAAGTAACATAAATATCATTCACATTCTCCACAGCAAGTTGACAAACCCAATTTTCTATTTACTACCTATTAGAATCTACAAATGCATAAAGCAATTAGAATGATATTTTTAAACTCTGTATTACAAAGCTACCAGCTGCAGTAAGACGATTACTGTATATTACTGAGGTGTGAAATCAAGAAGTACACATAATTTTTTTCATATTTACACTGCATTGTTTTAATTTGATTTCCCACTTTGAAAATCCAAAATTACTATGTCTAGAGTTCTTGTGAAAAATTTAAATCACAGTTGGCTGTATAGTAATTTTATGGCAATTAAAGTGCATTTGAACTCTATGCAAAATGACAACAGCTTTGAAAGATTGCAGTTTTCTCATGGACAAACCAAGTAACTTGATTTTGACGCTTTTGTAAATGTCAATCTTCAACACAGAACAGATTTTAGACAAAACAACACAAGTATTGTGCTGGAAGCTACCTAACAAATCAACAAAAATCCCCTTGAGTTTCAGACTTTCTTCACACCACAACACTAATACAAACAGCTGCCTTTTCACCAACTGAGAAGAAGCTACAAAAATATCATCTTTGTAAAAGGGAGAACAGCTGCAAACCATTCCTTTTGCTAACTGAAGCATAACAATGGCAGGGACATAAGTTTCCAAGACAATCTAAAGAACAGAAGTAGCAAAAACTCAAGGGAAAACACCCAGGTCTGAGAATATGAAACTGCAGACAAGAACCATTAGCCTACCTGAAACGCCAGATCAGCACATCACATATGACAACCAAAGCAAAAATAAAAACCACAAATCCCATATTAATAAACAAAATTCATGTTAGCTGCATATCTGCATACAATTACAACCTAACTTATCTAGTGTTAAATAACAAGTATATTTTTCTTTGCATTAAATTGTAACAGAACTCATTTACTCAAAATAAATAGATATTTTTGTATTGACAGTTTGTTTAGCTTGTTTAGATTAACTCAATGAACTTGGTGCTATTCATCTGTTAAGTTTTCTTCTCTCCCTTGCTTCTCCCTCTTCCATCCCCTTTCTGTATCTTGCTATGCTAAACCTAAACAGGACCTTGCCTTAAACCTAGCTTGAGCAGAAGAAGAATTCAATGGGCCTCCAGAGATTAAGTTAGGGAAATAAGACACTGTGGAACAGGAAGGTGTGGGTCTGTTTGTTTGTTTTTAGAGAGGCCATTTCCTTATACACACACCTACCAATTATTTCCAATTGCTTTTGGGCTTCAGAGAGTAACTTCAGGAAATAACTATCAAATGTCTTACATTACTTTACTTGCACATAATAACTTAGTCTTGAAGTCAAGTTTTGTTCACCTTCAAAATATTTTCAGATCTCTTAAATCTTCTTTGAATTTCAATTGCTAAAGTGAACTAAGACTGCTTCTCTAATAAAACCCTTGATAGTAAATACCTAGCTAGACCTTGAGTTGGTGAGGAAAAGTGCTTCAAAACACTATTGCCAAGAACAGCAAAAAGTTTATAAAATGCTAAAAGCATACACTCATTGTGACAACCTTACCATCTAAAGAAAACACATACAAGCCATAATCCCTGCCCTTCTTTAATCCCCTTAAAATAAAAATCCTAAGAAAGTAGTATACCCCCATCTTAAAAAAGCCCGAATCAAACAAAAAAACCCCCAGAAAACAAGCCTCAAAACGCAAATACCCCAAAAAAACAAGCTTGTATGGAGTCCTTATTCCAGCTTTGGAAAATGACTCAATGCTGCTGTGTTTAATTTTTTAGTGATGAATGCAGTCCCTATCCAAAGCAGCATTCAGTCATTATGAAGAGCATGTCTATACAAGTACTGTAGTAAAAAAACCTTAGAAAATCTCACACAGCAGACAGCTGCTCTGTCAATCAGCCTATATACAACCTCTCTTGATTTTCAGGACAGTGTAAGGTATCTCCATTGGTTAAAAGTCTCTAAAAGCCAAAGCGTTCATATTAAGCCACTGCCTTCCCATCCCCCCACTCTGAAATCCAGGTCTCATCCCTTGAGCCAGACAGTGTCATGATGCAGAAGATCCCTCACAGAAACAGCAGCTGCTCCCTTTTTTCATGAATAACATATACCAGTCATACTTCAGTAGAATATGCAGAAGTCATACTTCAGCACCCGGCAGTCTTGAGGTCTCAATGAGTCCCAATATCTTGCTTGATTGCCACCCGTAGTCAGTATGTTAACTTTGTAAATGATGTTTCCATTAGTGGTCTAGTGGAGAGAATCCTACCAACATCTCTGTAAGGCATGCAACTAAAAAAGGTCCAGTATCCACTTACACTGAGACCACACACACCTAACAGAGAGTGGTCCCACTAAAACCCATGGTAGGAAGGTAAATCACAGCTGGATGACTGTAGCACCTGCGCTCATATTACAGCCCAGACACTTATCTACAGTCTTCCTGCTGTCTAGGACTAAGATTAGTGGCAACAAGCTTGCTGGGAATACCTTTTTTCTCTCTGAGAAGGACTCTTTTGACCAACTTGAGCTGCTCACCTTACAGGAAGCAATGGAAGAAAGGTGAAGCCTGGTCTCTGTACAAATCAGCCTACATAAATAACAACCTCATATTAGACCAGTCAGCCAAGCCTGCTTGGGTCAGCCAGCAACTATTTTTATTGCTTTTCTATCTAAAAATTGCCATGAGATTGGAAGTCAATGTATAAGCAAGCCCTCAGGACACTACAAAAGCAAGCAGTGGGTAGCAATGTTGTGCTGGGTAAAGTTGCGTTGCTATTGAGTGAACTTCACAGCAGTATGTGCAATGGGATTAGAGCTCTGAAGTGACCACCCATCCATCAGGGGAGCTACTTGCTCGGGCAAACTTACAAGCTTGTCCAAACACAGGAAGAGTGTCACTTTGAAATGACAGAAATGCACAGAGAAAAAGATTACTAAATCCAAGCTAGGACACTTTGTTCTGATGATCCTACAAGGCTGCAGATTTATTAAGAAAGGCCACAGAGCACACCTGACGCACCTGGGGACCGAGAAGGTGCAGAGCACACTGAGCCAGGTACCAGGCGTAAGGGAGGAAACTATGAAGAAGGTAGAATTATGAAATCAAACTGATGAAATATACTATGTTTCTTCAGAAGCTATGAAAACCTTGCTTTCATCTGCATTTGTCCTATAGCACCCACCACAGGAAAGCCAATTGCTTTCAAAAATCCAAGCCTTTTTTCAAGTACCCTCAAACAACACAGCCAAGACAAAAAAAAAGTAAAAGGAAAACAATGCAATGCCTTGTGTAGCACACAAGCACAATTTCACATTCTACATAATTTATTTTTTCAAATCAGAGCAAACTGAGGCAATTACTTATATCTAACTAACAAGTAACGAACAGTTAATGATATTAATGCCAGAAACCATTTCTTCAGTTTGAATGTGCATCTTCTGAAAATACTGCTTTATCAAAAAACTTCCAAAACAGCAAAAGCACCATTTGAACAAACTGGTTTCAAACAGACCTATAAAGCTTTTTACTGTTCTTCCTCTGGTTTAAAGAAAACCAGTGCTCAGTTGTAATACAAATTGTATTAATAAAAGTCTTCCTGCTTGTCACTGTGCATTTTTACAGACTAAAGCTCCCACTGTAATTAGGATTTCGCTATGCTGGAAATTAATTAACAGAAGTAGTCCTGTTCTTTACCCTTTAAATATAAAGAACCTTGTGAATAAAAATCTAAATTTCAGCAAAACCTGAATTTCCAAAACACATAAAGAGAAGCTGTAAAAAAAGTCTTAAGTAAAAAAAAAAAAAAAAAAAAAAAAAAAACCAAAAAAAAAAAAACCAAAACAAAAAAAAAAAAAAAGCCACAAACCAAAAAACCCAAACCCAAAACAAGAAACAAAACCAACAAACTGAAAACCCTAAAACATTCCCACAACAACTGTAATATATCTTGTTTTGTAAAGCTTCCGAAATCCTTTCTTCAAAGGCAAAAATTAAACCAGTAAATCAATAATACATTTAGCCCAAATCTGGTAACCCAAATATGGCAAAGAGAACTAGCAAAAAATTCGTATTACATAATATTGCTGTGATACAGTAATTATCACTTACCCTGACAACATCTCAAATATAAGAATTCCCAGGGCCCACCAATCCACAGCTCTTCCATGGCCTTTACTTTGTATAACTTCTGGTGCAAGGTACTCAGGAGTGCCACAGAGAGTCCACGTTCTGGTTGTAAAAGAAAGAAAAAAAACCCCACAAAACAAAAAATGCAGATCAAAGTGGAACTGAAATAACAATAACAGGAAAAACCAAACATACACATAAGAACTACCCAACACATACCTATGTATTTACTGTACAAAGAAACAAAGAAATAAGAAAGCCCTCTACAAGATCCAAACAGACTGCTTTGATGATGTTCTCCAATTCTCCTGGAACAGAGATACACGCAAAATAAGAAACTACCTATCTCAGAAAATACCTGTGCACAGTTTCCCAGCTGGTGCTGTGGTACTCTACCCATTAGACTATACAATGTTTTGAATTATTAACAGTGTTTTTCACTCTGTAAGCCGCAGACCTCGGGAGATCATGGACTACTTCTGACAGGCCCAGCAGAAGACAAGTTTAATGGCCTTTTCCAGGAAAACAAAGTTTCATTTAGGAAAAAAAGGGAAGGAGGAAATTTTTAAAGCAGTAGTAGTTTAAACCAGTAAATAATAGCACATACATGAACATTTGTTTTACAGTCTAAGTAAAGTTTTTCAAATAGTATTGAAATCTAACTTGCCACCACTTCCACAATTTTCATTAAAAGGGAAACATTTTGCATTTTTAGTTATTTAAAATATTTACAAGGTGTAGTTAAGCAAGTGTGAGATAAGTAGGCAATACTTTTTGTGATATACTTTAAAGTCATTTTTAGTCATAGCTTTCTATGGTAAGGTCAGAATAAAACTGTTATATTGCTAACTAATTGAAGTTCAAGTTCTATAAACACATGAAACAAACTGAAGCTAAGCATTTATGTTTACAAAGACCAAATTACATTTGAAAATAAGAATATTCTGAAATAATTTCTTCCAGAAATGTAAAGTTTTATTTGTAAAAATGCCCATGTAGAATTTTCCTGGCTTCACTCCCTTGACTTAGGTTTAAATGTACACTTGAGAAAATAGTGTGCTCTTATTTTGAATAAATTAGCCTTCCCCAGCAGCAAGTCAGAAGATGAAACTTTGAAAATGTACTCACCAATTCAAGAGAAACTGAAACCCCAGCACAAAGAATAAGAAAGAAAACTATATCACATTTTAAAAGGAGCTCTATTAAAATATGACAAAGAACAGAATCACAAATGGTCACTGCATATGATTTCTAACTTGAACCAAAAAAACCTGAGTGTTTGTGAGAGGAAGAATTTTCTCCAATCAAACTGGTAACACACCCCTGAACAAATGCATTACGATGAACAGCAATCACCTTTAGAACTAATACTAATTCAACTTATTTTTTTCTGAGAATGCAAGGAAGATGATTGTTCCACCTTACTCTGTGCTGACATGGCCTCACCTTGAGCCCTGCATGCAGTTTTGGGCACTACAATGTAAAAAAGACATTAAGCTACAATGAAGATATTGAAAGGTCTGGAGGAGAAGCCTTATGAGGAGGGGCTGAGGGCACTTGGTCTATTCAGACTGGAGGAGACTGAGGGGAGACCTCACCGTGGTCCTCAGCATCCTCACAATGGGAAGCAGAGGGACAGGCACTGATCTCTTTACTCTTGTGACCAGTGAGAGGACTCAAGAAACATCACGAAGCTGAGTCAGGGGAGGTTTAGGTTGGATATGAGGAAAAGGTTCTTCATCCAGACAGTGGCTGAACACTGGAACAGGCTCGCCAGGAAGTGATCACAGCACCAAACCTGAGAAAGTTCAAAAAGTGCTTGGAAAATGCTCTCAGGCACATGGTGTGACTCTTGGGGATGTCCTGGGCCAGGCCAGGAGTTGGATTTGAGGATTCTAAAGGGTCCCTTCCAACTCAGCACATTCTATTACTCCTTGCAGTATTTTAAAGGGAGCTTTTGGGATTTTTTTTTTTTAAAGCTTTAGCCTTGACTAATAAAAATAAGAAAAAGCAAGGGAAGCTGTACAGTCAGTTTAGGCTTTAGATGAAGAATTACGACTTGAATTTCTTTAAGCTTCAGTTTGATATGGCAAAAGCCAACTTACTCCAGCAAGAACTGTCAGAAGTGTTAGGCACACTTGGCACCAATGTGCTTCAAGGTCCTTGAAACTACATTTCTAAGTGTAAAGAATACATTTTTCATTTTTATAATGAATTTATCTAAAAAATATGAACACTTATTTTCCAAATCAAGCACACTGAATTTTTACATACAGTGCTGCTTTACACTACTGCCACCTAGCAGCTACCTAGATCAGGACTACAGAATTAAGAATAACAGTAAAGCTCTGTCATCTTTTAAAATGAAGTACTTCTCCCTCTCCCAGACTTAAAAAGCTGTATCCGTCGTGTGACTCAATCATACTGATTTTTGGCAGCCATGCAAATGAAACAGCTGACAGTTTTACCGTGTTTTTATTCAAGCAAGAGGAGAACTGTGAATGTAACTTGCCAATGTAACTTGAAGTTTCCTAGCTGCACTAGGAAATAAAATTTATTACCACCACATGAACTACTTCCTTAATTTCAATTGAGAAATGTGTGTTTACTAACTACACAAAAACTTGGAAGAAGCTCATGCTCTTTTTTAAGGTGTGCATTTGTGCTGTAAGATCACGACTTGTGTTTCCTCTTTTGTTGGTCATGAAACAGACTAATATTTTGGAAAACACATCAAGTAGATGCTACAAAAGATAATATTTTATATTATTTTTTATCATTACTATATTATGCCTACTGCATATTTAGCTGAAATTCCAGATAACTTTTTTTGAAGATAAATTACGATGAAAAAAGGTAAGAATAGACTGTTCCCTTCAAACTGCTACAAAATATTCACTCTTCTGAGTTTTGAAGATAAAAGCTGAAATACAAGAAAGTGCTAATTGATAAGCTTGAATATGTAATTTTAAAACATGAAATACAGAATCTACTCTGGTTAAAAAGGTAAGCTACAAAATAATTTTGTGAAAGTTTTGAAGAGGACTGTGTGAAGAAGTTCAGTCTTCATGGTTAATGTGTTTCAGCATCCATCTCTGTGTACCTGACAAACTTTTTGCATATGAGACAGATTAACAACTTTTGTTTTGGTATTCTGGCAGTTTCTCCATAATTGTATTTAACAAAGATTCCTTTGCATCCAGCCGACAAAAATTTGCTCTGCAAGACATTCTTCCTTGCTTCTACAGTGGCAAAGGGCACACTTTGCTAACAAGACTTACTGTGTCTTACACAGTCTTTCCCTCTTCAGTCCACTGTGTAGAACAGCCATGAGGCACATCCAGCCAATGCAACAATGCATAACTACCCCCAACATGTTTAAATTAATCACTTCTGAAGTTTGTAGAAAGACTCACAGGTAAATTTCTTTTTTAGGAATGTTACCTGAATAAACTAAAATTAACAGTGAATAACATTCTGGGGAAAAAAAATCACTCAGGTCTTAATTTTACCTAAAATGTTTCTAACTTTCTGAGTGGAATCTCTCCATAAAAAAAACCGATAAAATTCCATGCAGGTTAGTTTTGTGCTTCTCTGAAAGAACATGGGAATTAAATGCCAACACCCCAAAAAATCCCAAAAAACCCCAAATATCCAAACAAACAAACATAAAACCCAAAAACCAGAAACCACACAAAAAAGAAAATCAGAACAGAAAAAAAGCCAATAAAAATACTATACCCAAAAAGTGGTATATACGTTTCAAAAAGCAAAAGGTCTACAAATGTAACAGTTGTGAAGTTCAAATGAAATTCTTTTTATAGCCTTCAGCTTAACAGTAATTTATAAAAACCCCCTCCCCAACTTTGTTCTTGACATTGCCCTTTTTTAAAAGCAGTGGCTCATCTATTTTATATGAATGTACTTACAAGAAACTGAAAAGGTTATTAAGTCTTCAGTTAAGCAACATCAAGGTGGAAAAGAGAAGAAATAAACAGCAGCTGAGGCAAAGACACACTGTTTTGGAGAAAAATTTAGAATTTTTAAACGTTTACTATGAGTGAAAAGGGAGGAAAAAGGATAAACAGAAGGACATACCAACAAAGAATAGAAGGAGCAAAGAAAACCTCCTCTCTTTCCTCTGTTTCTAAAAAGAAAACATTAAGAGTCTAGCACTTCAGAAACTGTACTAACAAGAAGGTATAGGTGCAGGCTGCTTTCCACAGTGGGAACATGAGCTACGAGCCAGACACTCTGAAGAGCAGCTTAACTGTAGAGGGACATGGTGAATATTTCATCCCTTCACACATGGCAGTGGGAAGAAAGGAAAACATCTACAGAAAAGCCTCTATTAGGCAGCTACAGAATCGTTCATGTGAAGTATTATATATATGGAATATGGGATCATGTCCAAAGTCTTCTGCAGATCATGCTTGCATTTACGTATTATGTCTTCTTTCTAGGAATGTCTCTGCTGATCCTGAGAGCAGGTTACCTCACAATGTCTGAAGAACATAAATCCTTCATGTCTTCTTTTTGCCATTCATGTATGCTGTGTATATGTTCACATCTATACACTCACCGACACCCATACACTTAAGATTCACGTGTACAGACACTTGCCATGCATAAAAATGACAATATCTCCTGTAATTTTGATCAAATAGGCTATGCCATAAACAAAAACACCTGCTGGAGTGCAGTAGTGAATAAAGGGCTGATAACTGTGTATTTTTACAGTGACAAAACCAACATTGTGAAGATGACTTCAGCTAGTGGGGAGAATACTATGTAGTTTCAAAAAAAAAACCAAACTAGTAACACAAAAAACTAAACCAGATTTGCAGAGGTGCAACCTGTGCAATCTTTGCCACCTGTGCTCTAATTGATAACTTTTTTGCTCATTTCAGTTTTATGTTCTGCATTTATTTACCTGTTGTACATTTGAAGGCAAATCAGCTATGAAAATAAAAGTATTATAACCTTCTATGATTCAACACAAACTGATCAACTCCACTGCCCCCCAAGCAATATGGAAAATACAAACCTAATTAAAAACCAGTAGTGATAAGAAAGTTTGATATCCTAAAATATATTTGAACTGATTTACTCTTAGAGATTCATCTACCAGGTTGAAAAATGTACTCTGATATGAACTATCACCTTATTTAATGAAAGGTTACTTCTCTTGTGCCTTAAACCCACAGAAACACAAAACGAGAATTTCCACTAAGTGGCAGTATTCACATATTAAGAGCAAGTCATAAGTACTTGTAAGAAAATGTCTTTAATACTTCCTGCAAAAAGTCTTTTTGCTTTAAAAACAAAAGTATTAAAATGAAAGGCCAGCATTTGTAGGCCTTTTTGCTTGCCCAGTGGAAACAGAATTCATATACTCATAACAAAATTCTATGGTTCTAAAACAGATTTTCAGACCTTAAAGGTGAATAGAACATTTGATTCTATTTTGTGATTTCATTGGTCTCATCTGACTTTTAGTTCATAAGGGATGCATTAAGCAGCTTCCTCAGATCCACTCTTGTTACTGATAAGTAAAACCTTGCAAAAGGAAGGCCTTGTAAAATCATGGCTCAGGCCTGTTACTTTGGTTAACTAGAAAAGGACAGTGAGAAAGAGACTCAGCTGAATTAGGGGTAGAAAACAAGATACATAACCATGGTGTGTCTACATTGTGGTGTATGGTGGTTGAATTATGTTTGTTATGATTTAAAAGTATGCAGCTGATAATCGCATAACTGCTCACAAAGGCCTGGGTTTTGCAATAAAGTACCTCTCCTTCGCCCCTGCCCAGGGACTGTGTCACTATGGACCCTCACCCACATGCTCTCCTTTCAAACTGACTTTGCAGAAATCTCCTCATACACAGACCTGTTTGTTGCTAAAGCAGCATCAAACGGGTTGATGACTGAAGAGGATGAGCACCTACGTAACACCTAATAGCACTGTGCTGCCCTAATCAGAACAATCAAATATGGTCTCCTTCAAGACATGACTCAAAGGCATAACATCAAGCCTTGTCACACCACTCTTCTGATACAACAGGCTGGTTTTTACCTCCCTTTTCTTGAATCCCAATGCTCTTGCTTACTCTTAAAAACATGTATTATGGTCTTGGAAGAGTAGTCCAAACAGAGAGAACAGAGAAATTACTGATGGGGGGAGCCTCTGCCTTATCAAAACTTACATATGTAACTAATGCTGACAGTAATATAGAAGCTAGATTTAAATAATCAGTTCTGCTGAAGCTGGCCTTATGGTGTCTGTCTATATTTTCGCAGTTTCATTTTCGCCACAGGCTAGTGAAAATGCTGTATCCGGTTTTAAAATCACACTTCAAAAATCTCTAAAAGGAAACTAAAAGGCAACATGAGTTACAAAACATACTCAGTATGTATGGAGGATTAATTTATGTATCTAAGTATTTGTTCATATTATTTCCCTGAACTCCCTTTTTACAACATGACTGCTGAAAACTGAAATATACAAAACCAGCCATATAAAAATATTTTTCTGTCATCGTTCATGTGTGATATTCCTCCTAGTTACAACTAAGGGGTAATACTACTTTCCATACAGCCATTTTAAGATTGTAATTTCCTTCATATTAAGGGATTTGATACGTGTGAACCACTTGGAGTGCTAAATCAAATGCTGGGCACCTGAAATCAAACATTTTTTTCTAACTTTTTAGCATGCAAAATGTAAATACCAGAGCAAAACCCAACTTACCTGTCCACCAGTTTTTTTGCAAATCCGAAGTCAGTAAGCTTGATATGTCCTTCTTTGTCTAGTAATATATTTTCAGGTTTTAAGTCTCTGTAAACTATTTCTTTGGAGTGCAGGTATTCTATTGCACAAATAATTTCCGTAGAGTAAAACAGTCCTGTGCTGTTGTTGAAACGGCCCATGTTGCGCAGGTAACTAAAAAGTTCCCCTCCTGGCACATACTCCATTAACATATATAAAAATCGTTCATCGTGGTTGGTCCAAAATCTGTAACAAAAGTATTGTTTTACTGAGTAAAGAAATTATGTCATTGATTTGCTTTACAAGTAAATGTCTGTAAAACGGCCTCTGCCACCCCAACCACGCACATAACTAATTTCTGATTCCTAGTCTGCAAATATTAAAACCCCCAAGAATCCAGTAGGATTATGTAAAACATTCAAGTAACCACCTTAACCTACAATACAAAACCAGACAGTTGAGGATAAGTACAGCACAGGCCAATAAAAAAACTAATTGATAGATTCTGTTCTACCATGCAAAACAGGTCTCTTCTAAGCACCAAACAACTGACCTGATATAAAGACCAGACATTTTTTTTACACATCTTACATTCTACATTATCAAGCATTAGCAAAGCGATGGGGGTAAGCAGAATCTGCTTTTGTAAAGACTTTCATGACAATATCCTTGCAACTAGACATCAGAGAGTTGTCCTTCTGCTCTCCTATGCCTTCTTCCCTGGAGATACACAATCCCAACTAAAGCACCAGATGACAATGCTTGCTCTTCTATGGCATCTTTCACAAAAGTAATAGAAAAGCAAAAATTATAGCAAAACAAGATTCATTTCTGTACCTCCGAATTAATCTAAGGATTGGTACCTTCCATTCCTGAGACTACCACCTTTAATTTAACTGGTACTTCTGTGGTAGTCAGACTCACATATAGAACGTAGCTTTAAAATGCTTCATTACAGAATACAGGAGTCTTCCACATTCTCCTAAATTATGTTGTACTTAATTCTATCTACATTAAACAACTCACCACACCTCTAAATGTAGCTCAACAGTCAAGAAGAAAACAAATATTGTTGACCAACTGAAGAACACTACTATTTAAAACTAAGAACTAACCCTAATTCCACTACAAAAGATAGGCAACACTGTATTCTTACCTACTTTAATGATACAGTGATACAAGAACAGAAGCTACTTCAGCTTCTAGTCAGTGCTTCTGCAGTATCACAAGTACCTCATGGTTAATCAGAGCATAGAGCCCTGGAAAAGATAAGCAGAAACTGAGCTCCCCAAGACATGAGTAATTTTTACTCTGGAAGATTTTATTTTTGACAGCGGCACTGAGGCAACCAAGGAAATAAGACCAACTAACAGATATCAGCTACAGCTCCTTGATTCCTTCAGAGATGGAGAAAGCAGAGTCCAGGCTTGTCTTCTGCTTTTATGGAACTTCTTCTCTATCACAGTCATCGACATCATTAATTGGCTATTGATGATGTTCACAGTATCTTTACAGACTACACAAAAACACTCTGAAAGTGTATTTTAGGTAATGAGGTAAAGCTATACCTACAATAAACAATGAAAGAAGAGCAGAAGTGGGTGAAACAAAGCAAACCAAATATAGAGGAAGACCAAAATCTGACAACACAGAGGAGAAAAAAATTGAACATCAACGTCATTAAGCACAGGATTTTTACTGGAATTAATTTCTTAAAAAAATGACTCTTAAAGGTTTGTCTATCCACTAAAAAATGGATACATTATTTAGTATACATGAAAAAGAGCAAAATGAAGAACTTCTGTACTTGCAATTCAGACTGCTTTAAATGGTAATGTAACACAAAAAGAAGAGAAAAAAATCACAGAAGCTGTGATTAGAGTAACATGTGGTGTCATTAACTCTACAACTCAGCTTACCACATGAACTTTAGATGCCATTGTGACTTCCTACAGAGAAAAAAACCTATTTTAGCTTATACAACTACAAGACATTTTATTAATTTAACAAGATTTTTATTAATTCTTTCTCTCTTCAAAAACATGTCAACATTACATCTCACTATAAAGAGCTGCACCACAGTAAGTATGACACATTACTCAATTATCAGCAAAGATTGCCTAGGAATCTCCAGTGAACAGTTGTTGCAAAAGTACCTTAAAAGCATTTAGAAAAAAATTGTTTAAAAAAATACATAGATGAATAACTCCATTGTCTACAGAAAAACTGTGCCTCCCTATATTTAGAATACGTATTTCTCAAAAGCAATAGAAAAAGGAAAAAACCTCCATTCTTCACATATAGGAAAACATATGGAATTTCCAAACATCAGAAAACAATTATGTGCAGCAATACTTTATAATTTTCCATCATAAAATCCTGAAATATTATGCTGCCCTGACACCTATTCCCTGTTTTGCAACCAAAGAAGAATACTATCTGTGTTAAAGATGGTGAAGCTAAATGAAAACATAAAAGCCAGACCATGTAGACAACACACTTTAAAGGCATTAAAGCTGAACTATATCATTTTTCCCTGGTTTTGTTAAACACTTACAGTAAAACAATTAACAGAAAAAAACCCAAACATCTACTGGGCAGGAGGTGGCTGCAAAAACCTTTTAGTCACACAAACAGCTGCAGAAAGTGTTATTTGCCATACAATCCAGTGATAATCATCCGCAAAGGCTTGTTTAACCTGAAGCACGTAAACATCTTTGTGACCTAAATTTTAACTACCTCACTTCAGCTATGTTGCTTGGAGTCTCCTCTGACAAGGGAAAAAGGCATCACATGGACAATTACATGAGCATAGCTGATGCAACATCCCATTGGACATTTCAACAGAAAAAGCAGAGCTCTAGAAGACATGAAAAATGTTGGCTTTGCATACATACAAAGAGAACTATTTGAATTGTGTCCTCTGGCAACCTGAAAAATTTGGTATTTTGTAAATAAGGTGTGAACGAAATCCAGGAAAACTCCTGTTTGGATATTCTGTACGAACATGAATCCTCCCTGTCTCTGACACGTCACCCAAATTTCTCTACTCCCGCTGTCCTGACACACAGACCTACTGAGATGGGGTTTGTTTGGGAGTTTGCTTGTTGCTTTTGGTAGGGCTTTCTTTTAAAGAATTTCCAGATGTACATAGATACATATACAAAATCTGGTTCCCCCTATTCCATCCATACTTCAACCAGACTAACCAGATGTACTCAGCTTCTCCATCTTGCTTTCTTCCATGAATCTCAATCTCTACATATTCTAGAACTTGTGTTACTGATACCACACGACACAGAGGATTTCTGAACACTAGCTGGAAACTAACAACATCATGATGCTGGAAAAAGCCAACACCACAGCAGAGGAAAAACATCCTCCTGCAGGGCTTATTCCACTTTCTGAATGACTACCATGCTGTTCCCTTCTTTTTCCTCTGCTCCTTGCCTAACTTTGGCAGGAAGCTGCACTCCCTGCAGCTAGATTAACTAATGCTAATTTTGTCTAATTTTACGTAAAACTGATTAAGGCAGGTAAACGGAAACAAGTCTTAGTTAATAGATGGCCATGTATCCATGCAAGAGAAAAGATAAATGGAAATTAACCTGCAATTACCAGAGGTTTAGTTATGCCATTAATAGATACAGACTCAGATACACAAGAAGCGCTGTGGTGCTGTGAACAGAAAAGTATACTTTTACAATGGGACCATTGGGATCATTAGTTACCTCAATTCCACTAAAAAAAGAAGTATTCTTTAAATTATTCTGTGTTTAAATAATGCTTCTCAATAGGTTCCATCACTTAACAACCTCAAATACAGGACTACCAAGTCCAAGAAGTAGTGCAGTTATTCAAATTTTTTAAAAATAAAGTCCAAAAAAGTTCACTTAAGTTTTTAAAAACTAGCTGTTTAAGTCCAGAAATATCTTTAGCTATTTACCAATATCTACAGCACATACAAGTAGAAATATTTTCATCACAATTCTAACATCAAGAATCATTCTAGAAGTCATTTTGATGAGCCAATCCTAACAATTCGTCATTAGTGTTTTCCTCTCACTTCAAGAAATGTCTCTTTTGCAGTGTGAAGAGAAAGAAAATACCTTAAAATAAATTATTGTTTGAATGTTTAAATAATGCCTCTTTATTTTAAATTCTTGTTTCTTCTAGAATACATACTTCATTCCAAAGTCTATTTTAATCCAGATTACATATGAGAAATTATACACTCAGTGTTGGTTAAGTACATAAGAACTCGCAATGAGACTCTGGAGTACTTTAACTGTACTTTCTGTGTGAGTGAAATGAGTTTAAAAAATAGAACAACTTACAATCTGATCAAAAAAGGGTGGTTGACTTCTTTCAAGACAGACTTTTCATTGTGCACGTGTTGCTCCTGCTTCAGTCGAATGACGTCAGGAATGCTCATTACTTTCAGTGCAAAGTAACGCTTGGCCATTTTTTCCTTCACCAGATGAACACGTCCAAAGGTACCTGTGCCTGAAAAGTTGGACAAGAAACATCAACTTAGCATAAAAAGGGAAAAAGAACAAAGATAATTTGCTAAATTAAAATCTTCAGGAACTCCAATTTTTCAGGTGAGATTATAACTTAAATGTGCACAGAGAGGCAAAGCGATTCAGTAGGATAAGGAAGTGATGGAAAAAATACATAATATTTGCTGATCCTTCTAAAAATTAATACATTTTTAAAATCTGCTTATAGTGCTCAGTGTTATATCACTTGGAAACAGTAGCTGTGTGGGTCCCCTTTTTTTACAGTTAATGTACTCCTTTTCGAACGCACTCTAAAAAATAAAGAAGGAAAATTAAAATGTATTGACTTTTAAAAAAAGCATTAAGCATTTCTCTATTCAACAGTCATTAAAGTTCTTTTTAAGTGCATTGCACTCAAGACAATAATATATAACTGAACTGAGTATCTCTTTTAGTTTGAAAAGTCAAAACTGGCACATTTAGCCAGACTGCCATTTGTTGTGCAGCACAGTTTTACACATTTGAAGACCAATACAAATTTCAGCTCATTGGGTGATTGCTTATAGTTTTTCTGCTCATTACAACAGTGCACCTGATATTTTTAATCCCATTCTCAGACAGAAATATGTACCACTATAAAGGACACCTGGCATTCAAACCAAGCACCTAACTTGTGAAAGGTCACTCTCTCCAGGAAAGTCAAAAGCTTATACTTCAGCTCACTATCATCCTCTTATTTGCACATACCCTAGGAAAGGCAGCACACAGACCTGTTACAGTATTATTAACTGATTTGCTACTTGATTTCAGATTGTGTTGACCAGTTATGACCAATTTACAGTAAAGACAATTTCAAAGATGTGCAACAGGTATGGGGAAAGGAGTATGTATGTGAAAGGAAATACTTCTTTGAGAGATAGGTAGAAGCAAGAAACCAACAAATGAACTTTCAAAATTGCATTATTGGGGAGATGAGAAAAAACAAGGGAATTTTTGCCTCTGGTAGCTTCAATTTATGTCTGAAGTATTTGTTTTCTGTATATGCATTCTCAGCTAAAAATGTTTAGGTTATTTAACAGTTTTTCTTTCCAATCACTTGAAATGTTGTTTAAGACACAGCATTTACTAAAGAACACCAAAAACTACTAACTCCAACAATCCAGTTTGATGTAATTTGCAGCTCCACTACCAATACAATTTCAAAGCCAGTTTTCAAGATAAAAGTTCTCACTGCACAAACACATCAAGGATTACCATTGTCCAAGCACTAAAGATTCTATCAAAGACGTTTTATATTCCCACCTGTCCTGAATTACAGCTCTTTAACCATGAAAACTATATACAGGTTTCAGAAAAAGCCTGCTGTTATAGCAAAGTAAACCATCAGGTCACCCTGGAAAATTTATCATGCTATGAAATCCTTTTAACAATGTAGTCACATTACATGACTATACCCGCAAACAACTTTATTTGCTCAGGGATAGGCTTCCGCAGTAAAAAAAAGCCAAAAAAAATAACATAAAAAAATCCAACAAACAAACAAACACCAAAAAAAGATCCAAAAGCTTCCAAGCAGAGACATCTGTTCAAGCTACTTTAAATACTGATTACTTAGATTTACACTGCATGCACAGACAAAAAAATTATCTTGGTTATTTCTCAATTAGGAGCTGAAATTTAAATTCTGAGTAAAAATATTGGGAAGAATAATGATAGTCATATGGCACACTAAAACTAGAAACCATCTTTCATTTTTGAGCCTTCCAAATGTGGACTCAGGGAAATTAACAATACTAACCCCATAAGCAAATGTGGTTTTGCATGCATTTTGATACTTGTACAAATGAAGTGCTTCCACAGACATATCCAACAGGAAAGTCAGAAGTGAACACATATCTAATTGTTCCTAGATCTCTACTGATTACATGTTTCAGGACTTGTTCTACTTGTTTAAGAAATTTTTATTTTAGAATGCTCTACTTTTCCTTATGCTATTAGTTAATCTTTACAAACCACTGGTCAGAAATAACAACAATAACAGAAATCACAAGTTCCACCTAATTTCCAAGAAGAACCTGTCAAACTTATTTAGCAATAGTTCTAACTTTGGAAATACTTCTTCCCTAAAAACATCTGTCAGGAACAGCAAAGCCTGGCAGGCTATTCCAGAATAGTGGCAAGGCTCTAATCTACAAAGCCTCTGGGAAAACCAGACGACCACACAGACAGGTGAGAACAGAGAACCTCCCTAACCAGTTTTATTCTTGAACTGATCCCAGGCAGTCTATTTTCAAACATCTTTAGCACACTTGCAAGCAACTATGAAAATCAAGACAATACAGACCAAGAAGCCATCTAACACTTGTTTTCAGACATCTCTCAAAATATACTTTTTCTCCCCATCAAGTCTTCTCAGAAAATCCATTAGGCCTGCATTAAATGGCATTACCCACACACCCACCACTCTTCCACGGGACTAACTGCTATGCCTTTTTATTGTTTTGTTTTATGCTCAGCCAGTCTTCAAATAACCAGATAAAATTTGCATAAATAAACTACTGCAATTAAAAATCTCACTTTAAACCTGCTCATACTTTTAGCCATTTCTGCTAACATTCGTTAAGTGTTCTTCCTTGCAATTGATAGGGAAGAGGGAGAAAAACAGGATGTCAGTCAAGGTAGGAGGCTGCAACAAGATGTTATTGTGTTGTCTAGCACAGTCAAGTAAATCTCTTTTATAAGAATATGTTGCTGTGCTGTGACTAGATGGAAACTCTGTCCCTCAGATTCATAAAAAGAAAACTAAAAACCTGAACCAGTAAGTGGCACTGAGCAAGACAAAGGCCCAGCTCCATAAACTTGAGGGAAGATTTTTGGCAGCAAAAAAGGCAGTGTTATTATCCATCAAAGCACCACTCCAGGTGAGGTGACACCTAACTCATGGAACAATTTCTGTTAATCCTTATGAAAGAACTGCTCAACTTTTCCACCTGATGACTGCAGAGTCCAGCTGTGTGAACTGAAGCTGACCTTTTGTGACAGGTAAGTAAACATTCCTTATGATTACCTTGAAATGGAAATATTCTATACTGGTCTGTAAGAATTAAGGGAAATAGTGTTCACAGATTTGCACTTTAGTCCTACTTATGTTTATTTCATATTTGGCTCAAACCAAGAGAACTCGAGGGACATCATACCATTCTGGATTAGGCCTGGGATCTACCAAGTACTATCCTGCTGAAGGAAGAGCAATGGCTTCATACACTCCCTACATACCTATTCCTATCTGTTTAACTTAGTACACGTTACCAGAGTTTCAGCGCAAAACAAAGCACCTATATGATAAGATCATACCTCAAGAAAACAGCTGTTCTTTCCAAGTCTGAAGAAAGAGTTGTAGTTCACTTGCACAGGCCCCTTCTCCCTGCTAAGGCATATGTAAGTGAAGGTCTTCGGCCATCAGTAACAACAGCAACAAGAGTGCCTGTGTTCAGGATTTTCAGGACTAAATGGGCAAACAGAATAAAATATGCAAAATGCTAACCACTAATCCAGTATAATCTGTTTACAACAGAAACAACAAAATTCTTGGATCCCATTGCAAAATTTATGCGGCTGAAGAGCTTGAAGGAATGCCTGCAATCTTCTCCATTAGGTAACCTTCTCATGTTAAACATGAAGAGATGAGGCCAAAATCTGCAGAGGACCAACTTGGCCCATGTATCAAACCCAAGTAGGGTATTTTCAGTCTTACAAAACAAGCTGGATTCCCTAATTCCATTCAAAAACACCATAGCCAGTTTCCATTTTGCTCTCTTTGAAGCCTGGCATAAAAGAATAGAGAATGTGGGAACATTTCTGATGCAATTTCTGATACTTTTGATGCTAGGTAAACCAATCCTGCAACTTTTGATCAGCTAAAACAATTTAGTGAGTAGTCATGTAGTGACTATTTTGCTATGGATGTAGATGACTAATTTAATGCTTAGATTGCCTTTTTATTTGCTCCCATTAATTAGACCCAGCTGTTTCAGCTTCCCATCCTTTTAATCCCCAGCTCTTTCTTAAAACCAAGTTTGCCTTGTTCAGATAGATACCATCTGTTTTAATGAAGAATAAACTAGGTCATGTGAGCTCTGTGACCCCAGGGGCTGCTTTCTGAGTCCCAGAAGGGTTGGCCCTGACTTCAACAGATGCCCTCAAAAATCATCAGATGCATTCACTTTGATTTACAATTAGAAGAAACATTTCCTACTGTGACACATATTAGTCTTTACTGATACCCACAAGCACAAGAGACTTTATTCTGTTTAATATCAGAGATTAACTAAGTGATATGTATCAGATTGCAAACCAACTACTGAATGCCAAATTTTGTCTGCCATTTAATCATTGTCTTATTTTGGGATGGAACTTCAACTGCCTAGACTAGGAAATGGGGGTTGTCAGTAGTTCTTGACTAAGAAGTGGAAAAGTGGCAGAGCAAAGGAAAACCAGCCTGCCCAAACAGACTGGTAATCAGAAGATTAACAGCTGGGAGAATGATTTAGGGACACCACAAGGCACAAGCAACTGTGGGCTTCTACAACAAAAGATGGGGTTGGCACATAAACAGGGCAACTCAAAATGAGGACGACAATGATTTTGGACATCACAGCAGCCAAGTTCAGGTTTTTATTAATGTGTCAACCCATAAACCAATGTCACTGAAAATGCCAAATTCAGTGTCTTCACTGTTCTGCAAGCCAGCTGTGGATTGTTCACTGTAAATCTTGGATCACTGAATTTACAGATCTGCATTACTCTAGAGGGTTCAGATCTAACACTGAAAAACATATCAGAGAAATAACGAGAAGTTAGAGGAGGTTTTATAGAATGCCTTTTTATGTCATACTGCTAAATCAACAAAAGATGCCAGATCAAAATTTTTGTAAAGCTTTTTTTGTATCCTTCAACGATATGCACTGAAATCAGACAGTCTGATTAAGACCTTAACAGCACAGA